AGGTGTATTGTTCCTAAACTATTGGCACTGCTTGCTCAGCAGTTACCACCTTTCTGGTCACATTCACTGACCCACCCTGAGCTCCTTCAGCTGTCAGGGACATCTACCTTAGATGCACCTCTCAAGCACTTGCATAGTGTATAAAAGGCTCTGGATTCCATGCCCAGTATAAAAACAAAATTGAGAAAAGGATTAAACTTCTCAGTCTCCCTAATTGTTTTGTCTGAAGCAATACAAAAGCTTTTCTCAAACTCTTCAAAAAACTAAGGCTAAAGTGTTATGGTTTTTCTCTCCCAGTGATTTTGTTCATGCATTTGCTCTGCCCTCTGTAACAGCCACCCTGTCCCTTCCTGAGCATCTATGGCAGATGCTCCTCCTCCAAGAAGCCTTTCATGATTTGCCAAGTGGAGATTGTCACTTCCTTCTTTGACTCATCCACAGTATTCATGTCTGTCCCTCTTTCATTACATCAATCTTATCCACCAGTGTATTATACTGAATTATTATACTTAGTGGTTTTTCCCTCTATTTGTGTTGTTTGTACAGCATTGTTTGTATTCTAAGGAAAAAGCTTTAATCTTTGGATTGCCTCCCTCATAGAGGGACTTCAAACTTTTAAAAATTAATTTATTCAATTGATTTGAATTCAGTGAATATCCAACAAATTTTACTCTATGTGTGAGTCTTACAATTTCATCCTTTTGGTGATAATTCTTGTTCTAAGAAACTAGGTGGTTTGTGGTTTAGAGTCATGATTTAAGCTGCCCTTAGAAGAATGAAAAACAGCTGGTGGCCAAGGAGTTCTGGAAATTGGTCAATAAACTAATTATAGAACAGAAGCCAAGAATAAAGAAGCTGTACTTGCATAGTTAAAGCCCTATCTATATTATTATTTATGTGAAAAGATACTGCTTTAGAAAGTTAAATATTTCAAATAATGTGTTTTTATTAAAATCATGGATAATATATACAAAGAAAATATAGAACCATAAATAAATGTCAACACCCAAGTATTCAAACTGCTTTTGTTTTATTTAGTCAATTATACCTAGCAAAGTATTTAAGGAAGATCAAATTAATTTGAAGGGATATTTTAGAATCAATGAAAAATTTCTTTTATTTCAGGTATGTGGGTTAAACTGTAATGATGAAAAAACTACTAAAATATTTAGAATAGTATCAAAATTGATGCAGTTTATAAACACATAACAATTAAGAAACATTTCAACTAAATTCAACAAATAATGTTTGCTCATTGTCTATACCCAAGAAAAGAGAGATACAAAGAGGCATAGTCATAAAATTAGCACCCTGAAAGCTTAAAATTGAGAAGTTAGCAAGAAATGCACAAATGACTATAACTATGTTGGATTGTAATGAGAGCAATATAATAGATAGTAATTCCAAAGAAGGAGAAATCACATGTGGATATAAGAAGTATCATTAAAGTTGCCAGCATTCTAATACCAAAGACTTGAAAGGCAAGAATATAAATAATAGAATAACTGAGGAGGAGACACTCCAGGAAGAAAGGAGGGCACAGCGAAGGGCTCAGAGAGTTGTAGATGAAAGAGATTACAAATCAGTCTGCTGTGGTGAGAAAAAGCCCTGAGCCAAAGGCCATCTTCTGTGAGGCTCTCATTGAGGATAATTTGAATACAGGGCCGGTGACTCAGAGCACAGATATTTGTGAGGTGGTCATAGGACAGCTGTTCTATGAGATACATGGCACAGGTTAGGAACTGAGCTAGTTTTTCATTCCCTCTCAATCCAAATTAGTGTCGAACAAGTTAAAATAAAGCTAACAGTGTCCAACAGGGATGTGTAGTTTTCACTGAGCTTAGAGAACTGAAAGAATGTACTGTGCCTACTCCGACCTCCAAGCTATGTTTTATATTATGCTCCCCACCAAGTTTCCTCTTGAGAGATCTAGATGAAGTGTTTCCATTCGTCAATTTACTCAGAGTCCAGTAGTAGTGGTGGTAGCAGCAGTAGTAGTTCTACTAATAATTTCACTAAAAGAAGCACATTTTCCTGGAGCTAATCAATGGTCTTCTTGGCCCCTTTCTTTTCACTCCACCCACCTCTCTTCTAGTAGCAGCAGCTCCCTCCTTCACCTGTCCCCAGACCATTCTCAGTGAGCATTTCCTTGACATCCCTATTAAATATCCAAGCCTCACCAAAACCCACTTTTCTCCATAGTCTCATTACCTTCTAACATACTGGGACATGTATTTATTTATCTGGTTTGTTGTTAGATTCCCACCAATGGGTCAAGAATGAGTGTCTGTTTTATTTATGAATGTACTGCTAATGCCTAGAATAGTGATAATGTGTAGTAAATGCTTAATAAATATTAAATTAATAAACACATGTGTGAGTGATCTATATGTTAAGTATTTGTGTGAATATTTCAGATGGTTCCTATATTGATTTATACAGCTTACTGTTCTAGCTACTGTTTCTCATGACTTACAGTCAATTAAGGAAGATTTATAAATATCTACCATGTAATTAGCATTTTTCTGGTTCTTGAAAAATAAGTTATATGTAATTCTTTTGGGGAGGGAGTACCAGGGATTGAACTCAGGACCTTGAGCTTGCAAGGCAGGCAGAAGAACCACTAAGCTAAATCCCCAGCTGTAATTGTTTTGATATTTAAGAAGAAAACAATGACAGAATAACAGGTAGAATATGAGCACTCTATGATTTCACCTGCCATTTTAAGGGAGGAGACAAAGATATATTGACATCTTGCAAGATTTCTGAGTGTAGCATGCTCTTCAATATGAACATGGGCTTTGGAATTATGAACACCTAAATTCTCATTCCAGGAATGCCATTCCTTATCCATATCACCTTGGCTTAGTCATTAACTTCTCAGGGTCAAGTGATTTCATTTGTAAAATAAAGATCACAGTCTTAATCTCACATGGAGAACATGAGCAAAGGAGATTGTCTACGGAAACAATTAGTCAAGGCCTTGGCACAAAGAAGCAATTAAATAAATGCACATGGAATGAATTAATTCTTGGTAAGTGGAGGGAATATAACTACAAAAATGTGGCATTTCAACCTATTTCTACTGTATTGTACCCATCTATGCCTTTACTCATGGTGATACCTCTTCCCTCCATATCTTTAAAATAGTAAATTCCATTTCTTTTTTTTTTTCTTTTTTGTGGTAGCAGGGATCAAACTCAGGACCTTGTGCTTGTGAGGCAGGTGTCAGCACCACTGAGCTAAATCCCCAGCCCTTGAATTGCATTTCTTATTGGTTGGTCTTTATAATTACTTCTATTCCCATTTTAGGGAAAGGGATAGGAAAACTGAGCCTTACACACATTAAGTAACACGTGCAAGTCCATAAAGTAAGCAGTGGAGCCAGGATTTGAACCTCCAGAGCTGGTTTCGTGTTCTTAGTCCTCACCTTAGTCAGCACAGCAATGTGGTTGCTGTCAGAAAGTCATTCCTATACCTCTAGTTTGGGTATTATGCCTTTCTCAGACCACATAGAATCTAATGCACATTTCTTCCATAATGCATAATAATTTTTAAAAATTCATTTGTTCTTCTTCTCTTTACATATCTACATTGCCTGCTAGGTAAACTTCTACATGGGTAACTCTTCCTATTTTGAGATCTTGAATGGGTTTTTACTGTACAATTTTCATAGAACGTTCAAAGAAATACACAAAAACTAATATTTACTAAACATCTCTCTACCAATAGACTCTGGTCTAACTGATCTACTCTTCTACTTGTATATTCCTTGCAAAACCTATGTGGCAGATATTGCTTCCATCCTTGTCTTAGAGATGAGATACAGAGTTCACAAAGTTAAACTCCAGGACTAGGATTTGAATGAAAGCATTTAGATTTCAGAGCCCATAAACTTAATCATGAGACATATGCCTGTCACTCACCAGGACTGATTACATCTCCTCTTCCCTTAAAACATTCTAGGAAAATTCGTTTTCACAGAATCTAATTTGGACTTCTATGATCTATGACATAATTTGACTAGTCTTTATTTTTCCTGTGATATGGGCACCTGTAATTAGTCAAGCTTTAAAAACTTATCTATATAAAATAAGTGAATCTAGAATCTGTTAGTCATGTCAAATTTTAGATCAGCATTGACAAAACTGTTAGTGGTGTCCCATGGCCCCAACCCAGTGTGGAAACACCACATTGAAGGTCTCCATTGCCTCCACACAGACTACACATTCAGCTCTTCTGATTGCAGGACTTTAAAACATAATCTTGCATAAATTCAAAACCAAAAGCAAACTTTTACAAGACTCTTTTTAATACCAACTTAATTTTTTTACTGAGTAAAGTAGTTTAAACACAGAGAGTCTATTTTTAAGAGAGAGCAAAGAATGTGTCCATGGCAAGCTGGAACAGTACACAAGTGCACTGGCTTCACTCGTTATCTCAACGACAAAGCATGAAATCACAAGGAAGAAAAAGTCAGCATGTTCTCTTAGAATGCAAATAGATTAGTGCTAGTGAGAGCTTTGCCCAAGAAAGGCAAGAGATACCTACCCAAGCATAAATCAGGCACATGAAACCTATAATTTCAAGAAATATTTTCAAGAAATGTTTTAGTTGATAAATTTGACTATTGGTCACAGAAAGCACTGAAAAAGTTCCATGTGAATTTTCTTTTGAAAAAGAGTCCTTCCAAATGTAATCAGTCAACATGCCCCATCTATGTTGCTTAAGATGTGCTTCATCAGTAGTTATGGGAGTCACAGAAGAGAAATCTATGTAGATACGTGCACACACACACACACACACACACACACACACACACAAGTCTATGATGGGACAGTATTTAACAATATTAGGTGCATAAAAGTCTTTGCTAAGTTAAAATGTGTAAAAGCCCATATCATTTGACATATAAACACTTCTGGTCTCTTTAGGTCCTTCCAACATACAAATAAAAGCTTTCTTATACTCAGAACTCAAAAAAAAAAAATTCCTCTTACCATATATTCCATGTTTGCTGCTGGTGGGAATACTTTGCCCCGAACTTGATTATGATAATCAAGAATGGCGATCATGTCATTCTGCGATATGTAGCGCTTCCGCCTGGCTTTGGGAATATCCGCTGAATGTAGTGGTGCGTTTAGAGTTGCTTCAATATCAGCGAAATTATTGGTTGGCGAGGATGAGTCAGTGGAATTGAGTAAGACAACAGTACTTGCTTCACAGAGAAGGAAGAAGAGAAGCGCACTGCTGACGGCAGAGATTGCTATCATTTCGAGGAGTGGAGAAGAGACCACCGAGTTTACTTTGGTTTAAAGCAGAAAGGTAGAGTTAAGATCTTTGGAAAAAAAATAGGTCCACAGGGTCTGAATTTACAGTCATTAGGGAGAATTACTTGATTTAACTTTCTGCAAAACTCCAAACAAATGTTTTACCATTTATAGTAGAATCTCTTATTCATTTTCCTGAATCATGTGGCAGACTTCCTAAGAGAAATTTTCTAAAGTTAGAGAAAACTAAACTGCAGGACCACTAATGCTAACATAAATGTGAACATTTGCCCCAAATACCTGAATTATAAGGTGCATTGCTGCAAATTTGTTTTCAGTGGGAAATCTTTAAGAATTGAAGTTCACCTTGAGAGTGAAGAGGAAAAAATGTCCTGCAAGTCACAACACAGAATGTGCTGATAATGTCTCCCAGGCGTATATGCATACAACTGGATAGAACACACACAACAATAGTATAGTAATCCAATCTCATTTCTCTAAAAAATGTCAGCTACTTTAAATCAATACATGCAATACAAACTTGTTGAGCCAAATAGCTTACCTCTGCACAATGCCAAAATGAATACACTGTTCTTCCAAAAATTTAAAGTTCTTTGCTATGTTGTAGCATGAACTCTTGTAAAAGAAACGTGTCTTATTACAAGCTCCAGGGAGCAAAAGGCTGCAAGGTTTGAATGCTGCTGGTTACGGGAGCAGCTAACAGCTTTTATATGTCACAGTATGCAGCGTCCAGAAAGGGCTGTCTTTCTTAGGGTCTCTTAGCCAAAAACAAAGGGGAGGGGCTTTAGAAAAAAACAGTGATTGGGTGGCAACCTTTTTATGTGGGTGGTGAGGAAATTGAGTCACACCCACAGCTTACAAAGTACAAACCATAAAAGACAAATCCTTTTTTTTTTCTGGGCTTCCACCTTGTCTCTGAGTGGTTAATTTTTCTCATTTAATGTTGTCTAGTCTAGTTCCCATACAACAAGAAGAAAGAAGGGCGGGGGGGGGGGGGGGGGACACGGACTAAGAAGGGGACCGAAAACAGGGGGGGGGGGGGGGGGGGAACTGTGGGTTCTTGAAAACACAGATGGCTGAGCAATAAGCAGTATATTTTTTAATGACAGTAAATGACATGGGAGCTGAAAAGAGCAAGTTGATATTAAATCAGGAGATCAGCTCACAGAGTTAATCTGAGTGGCCACAAGTATGATTCAAGAGGAATGCCAGGCAAATCAGTAGCAGCCAGACTATAGCATATATTAGGGTAATAGCTGTTCAAATGGTTGTACTTTCTGTCTCTATGTGGCTTCATTCCTCTAATTTATATTCCCTCTCTCTCTCCCTCTCTCTCTTCATCTTCCCTTCCTTTTTTTTCTTTCTTAACCAACTGAGGTCAGTGAATTACTTGCTTTTTACCTGCCCTGTGTAAATGTGAAGAGAAGTTCACAGTGAGTGATAGCAGCCAAGATAACTAACATCTGTTTCAGGTTTAGAAACATATAGTTGAAATTTTAAAGCATAAAATAGCTAAGCTTTCCAGGCAGAGTATTGGAGAGCTCAGCACAGAGACTATGAAAAATTTCACAGCAGCAGCCACCAACTTAGAAGTGCCTTGTTAGGAGAATGCTATTGGAACAGAACCCGTGTTACACAAAGCAAGAACTGAGGATGTAAATGCTAGTGTAATCTAATTGAAAAGACCCTCAAAACTGATATGTGTCACAATATTAACAGAATGTGGACCATTTATAGTAAGGTGCAATAGATACCCTCGAAGACACACTACAATTCAATGTAGAAATTTAGCATGGACTGATTTGTTCTGTTTAAAAATGGGATTGTCTTCTGCATATTTCAGCAGAAGTACTATGTAAATTCATAGTCATCAGGAATGATGATCATGTGGCACGCTGGACTGGGAACCAAGTTATCTAGTATTTAGTCTCAGATCACAGCACTATGTGTTGCCTAAAGCATACTTTTAAATTCTTCATTGGTGTATTTAAAAATGGAAGGAAAAGGTGTGTGTTCTGTAGTGAGTCAGATGTTAACAAATTCCTTCAGAGGGCAGTAAGGTGTTTGAAACCAAAATGACCCTGATGTTCAAAATACATTGATGAGACACACACTTGGATAGCAATAATAGATTTCAGAGCTTAGGTTTTGCCATATTTGGACAAGCATAAAGCATCCAACTAAAGTGAAATCATTTTAGCAGAGCTCAAGTTCCAATACTGAAAGCTTTAAACAAGGAATTAGTTTACACAGTGAAGTTGACAAGGCAAGAAGGAGATGAGGAGGAATAATACGAAATATTATAGCAACTGAAGAAAATGCACATGGTTGCTCACAGTTGCATATTTTTTAACTGGAGCTGTCCAACTAGGGTCTCAGCCCTTCCAAAACTATTCATGGTAGCTGAATGAATCTCAAAAATGTAATATTAAAGAATCTTCAATTGTATATGAAGATTAATGGGTCTGTTCTATGATCATTGGACTTTTCAATAAATTAGTGTCAGCCTAAGTGTATATGTTCTGCCTATCTCCATCAGCTACCCAGCATACAGAGACCTGAATGGCTTTCAATGACTGAACAGCAGGCATGAGCTTTTCTCTCTAAAGAGTTGCTAAGTTAGATCCTCATGAAAATCATTGCATTCAAGATTACTTTCTTTGTCATGTACACAAAGACATATTGTCCACCTCTTGGAGTTTTAGTTGGGGGATTTCCATATTGATGAAAATATGATCCTTGTGAAACATCTCCAGACTATAATGGATTTCCTCTAAGAAGCAATGAAAGAAAAGAAAGAAAAAAAAAAGAAAATTTAAAAGATGGACCTAAATAGGAGATCACCTCTTCAAGCCTAATTACATAAAGGCAGATCTGAAAATTGCTTAATCTTGAGACCCTGAGGCATATCAGTGACTTCAGATGTTTTTCAACACACATGGATTATATTATGGAATTTCAGACTATTAAGGAAACCCACAGGGTTATGGAATTGTAAGAGAAAAGACCTGTGGGAGGATAGTTAAGAATTCTCCTTCCAAGCAGACATCATTACCAGAAAAAGTATGTGAAATGCTTGGAAAATAATTTTAATTTTAAAATACTTGCAAAATTAAGAGGCATGCATCCAAGTTGTCAGTAAAAGAACTATTAATGAACAACTGACAATGAGGTGGTTCTTTATGAAAGCTCTTCTTGAAAAAGACCACTGACATGTTTTAAAACCTTTAGGACTGATTGCCAACAAAGACAGAAGTGGAATGCAGTTGTAATCCTGAAAAGAAATACGTATACAATTGGCAGTACCATGAAACCTATGAGAAAATGGTTGGAACTTAAAAATTGAAATCAGATACACTACTACTGTATCAGAATGGCACACCTAAAAGGATACTTTGGGGTGTGTGTGTTTCTGTTGGTGTGTGTGTGTGTGTGTGTGTGTGTGTGTGTGTGAGAACACATATGCATGTGATTTTATTATTACATTCTTCCCAAATGGAATGTATCTTATGAACTAGCAACATTGACATCTCCTGTTAGAAATACAAAATTTCAGATACCATTCAAGACCCACTGAATCAGAACCTTCATTGTATCAGGATCCTCAAATGATTCTTATGCACATTAAAGCTTGAGATGTACTATCTAACTCAGTTTTCAAAAACACAGAGGCAACCCTTTATACATATGCCTGCTGTATAAGCTATGGCGAAAGTCTACTTACCTGGTAACACAGGGAGAACTAAAAAA